AAGGCAAAGCGTTCAACGAGTTTACCGATCGAAAAGTTTCTTTTAAACGATGAAAGAGGGGTAGAAGACATATATTTTTAATTTCTTAATTTTTTTTTCGAACATTGATTACCTTCTTTAAGATATTATAAAGATTATTTTGTGCTTAATTTTTAATTAATATTTTCAATTTATCAAATGAATTTTTTTTCTTCTAAGTGGGTGATATTATTTTCGAATGGAAGAAATTTTTTAAAATTATTTATTATCTGCAGGGAAAGAGTTAAAATGATATTTTTACATCTGTACTGATTTTCTTGAAGCTATGTTTACTGCTGGCGCCATCTAGCGTCCAGAACATCATCTAAAAGTAACAGGATCGTAAAAAAAATAATATGAAAAATGTAATATATTTCCTTTTCACGGGGTACGAACTCGCTACCACCCAATAATTAATAAAAAGGGATTGAGGGGGACCGCATCCAAGTCTTTAAGCGATACCCCACAATTCCTTGGTTGATATGGTTCTTAATTATCTGCATAAGGTTTTTCCGTGCTCCGCCATCTTGGATTTCCTCTATAGCCGCCATTTTGAAGAATTTTCTTGGTGGGTAAATGACGTCACCCTTATCATGTTTGTGCATGATTTGGTTGGGAAATGGCGTCTGCCTTTTCACTCCCTTTGTGTAGACATCCGCGTAGGTGAACGAATACATTTCTGTGGACCAATCAGAAAGCAGAAAAATGATGTCATGCCCTCTTAACCAATCCGCGTATTCAGACAAAGTAAAAAGTTCGGAGCCGAGTTTCAACCGCTGGATTGCCTCCGAAATTCATTACTTGCTAAATTTTGGAAGTTGTTACCACGCGTTGCTTATTTAGTTTTGTGTTTGCTTTGTTGTACTGTTGTGCATAATGAAACGTCTAGCTGCAAATTCATGTTTATCATCAAAGAAGTTTTGCGGTGCTTCATATGACGAAACTTTGCTGAAGCTTGATTCTTTGCCAAAGAATATGTTTCATCTCGGAGGGGATATTTTTGTCACTGTATCGTGTTTTTTTAGGTTTGACTCGTGTTCACGTTCGGAAATATGTGACTGATGACAACGATTTGCTACATCCTAGCAAAGATGGAGTTTCGCTTTCTCCTCTAGTATGGAAAGAATTGAGCGATCATACCAATACATTTGCTTCCTTTGAAGGTTCCGATAGTGTTTTTATTGTGAAGAAAGATGTGTGTGTGTTTCAAAACAAAATGTCAACGGTGAACTAATTATATCACTACAAAGATTGTTCCAAAGAAAAGATTTACGATTTGAATTTGTACCGGAACGTGTTCTGTTGAGGAAAGAACATTTACGCAAACTGGACTCCATATATAGCGAAATATTGTGGTGTCGCGAAGGAAACACTTATTTCTAAAACTCTTAACTATTTTGTGAAAAAGCAGGTGGTTGGTGATACACATTTTGAATTGAATGAATATGCTGGTGATCCAGACCGTCCAAATGGATTTCATGAGCTGCAGGACTCTTTGTGTAAGTGTATTGAAAAATTTATTTCTAAAAAAATTTCAGAACTTTTTGTGTGTTTTGGTTGCAAACAAGGGATTAATAATCAGCTCGGACATGAATGCTTATCAACAAGCCGTGCTGAAAAATGTGAAACTTATTTTGACCAGGCTTTGTTTACAGTTAATTGGCCTGAGATAGCAAATGACTTCATTCGTGAAAATGAATGTAATATAAATTTTAGTAAACTAATTGTTACTGATGACTTTTTTGATGTTATTAATGTAAATGATGTACTGAATATTATTCAAAATTTATATGTATGTGAAGAAACTAATTTGTTTAAAGATTTACTGAATAGTTCTTTTTGAAAAAATAAAATAAAATATTAGTTTTTATTCACTTTTTTGTATTGCTTTCTTTTTTGTTTCAAAATATTGTTTTTGTTTTTTTAAAAAAAATTGTATACTTTTTGAGTGACTCGGCATGAATTTTAATTTTCTAACTAAGAAAATACTAAATAGTTAATATTTTTAAAAAAGATGTTATTAGGATTAGGTGAAGCGGGGTATAAAAAAGTATAAATAAATGTTCACTTTGATTTATCATTTCATTTGGGTAGTGCTTGCCCGAGGATGAACATAACTTTTTCTGTTGATAAAAATTCCTGTTGTAATGTCAGAAATTCTGAATCTGACATATCGGGATCCAGCGCAGCCGGCAAGCTTCGGTGGTATAAATGCTTTACAACGTGTTTCTGGAGTAAAAAGCAAAGAAATCAAAAGATGGTTGCAGGCGAAAGATTCTTATACGCTTCACAGACCTCTGCGGCACAGATTCCAACGCAACCGAGTCATTGTAGGGGGCATCGACGAACAATTTCAGTCTGATTTAGTGGATATGCAATCGCTGGTATCTTTTAATAGTGGTTATAAATATTTACTGACGTGCATAGATATTTTTTCCAAATACGCTTGGGCTATCCCTCTCAAAGATAAAACAGCTGTGTCCATTAAATCTGCTTTCAAAAAGATATTTTCGGAACGTACACCCGAGTCTTTACAGACAGATGCAGGAAAAGAGTTTACCAATAAGCAAGTTCAAAATTTTTTGAAAAAGAAAAATATCCACTTTTTTACGACACACAATAATACAAAAGCTTCTGTCGTGGAACGGTTTAATAGGACCCTTAAAACTAAAATGTGGAAATACTTTACCGAAATGAATACACGAAGGTACATCGATGTTATAGATAAATTGATATCCAGTTATAACAACACATGGCATCGAAGTATTAAGACAGAACCTGCATCGGTTACGCTACAAAATCAAGAAAAAATTTGGAAAACTTTGTACGGTCAGCAATCAGCACAAAAAACCTGTTCCTTCAGATTTAAAGATTGGAGACACGGTACGCATCAGCCGCGAAAAAATGCTCTTCGAGAAAGGATACGAACAAAATTGGACAAGAGAAATTTTTACAATCCATAAAATAATTCGTCGAAATCCTATCGTCTATAAATTAAGAGATTTAGCGGGAGAAGATATACAAGGAACCTTCTATAAACAAGAATTACAAAAAGTAGCGGACTGTGGGTACTATCCTGTCGAAAAGGTACTGAAGACAAGAAAGCATTGGGGAAAATCAGAATACTTTGTTAAATTTCAGGGTTACCCTGAAAAATTTAATACTTGGGTTTCAAATTTGAAAATGATATAAAAACATGCGTACTGTATTTTACTTTTCATTTGAGCGAAAATGTCCTTCTACGTAACACTCATAAGCGATAGCTCTAGGAGATTTTTTTCCAGACAATAAAATTTCTCGATTTATTACCCAACTACCGTCTCCTATTGATCTTAGTAATGGGGACTGGGAACTAGCTCTCCTAAATATTATTTACCCTCATTCATGGTATAATGTCGGAAAAGATAATAATTTATTTGGGTTTTGCTGTTCACAATGGAGAACTGGAAGGACGGCATATTCCTCCTGGTTATTATGAAACGATACCGGACATATTAAAAGCTATGACTTTAGTTTCTCATAAAAACAAAATTGAATTTTCTTATCATAACATTACGAAAAGAGTAATGATAAAGACGGATGAACAATCAAAAGTGGTTCTTCACGGAGGACTAGCTGAGCTCTTAGGATTTGAACCGGGTGTTTACGAAGGAAGTGTCCAAAGTCCTTTCGTAGCGAATCCGAATGGTTTTTTTCCCCGTTATGTATGTATACTGTGATTTAGTTGAACCACAAATCGTAGGTGACGTACAAGCCCCCCTTCTGAAAATTGTAACAGTGGAAGGGAAAGACGGAGAGATTATTGACAAACATTACTCTCGACCTTTTTATTTACCAGTGATTCGCCAACATTTTCAAACGATTGAAATCGAAATAAGATCTCATTCGGGGAGTCTGGTGCCGTTTGAAAGAGGTAAAGTTTTCATAGTGCTCCACTTTCGTTTTTGACAAATTCTATAAAAAGCTTTACCAAAAGAAAAAATTATTCATTCATAGTGTAAACGTTCTAAAAGCTGTATCAAAAATGCTCATTCCATATGCTTGTTGCACCAAACACTTTGAGGATTATTATGTGGGACAAAACTGGAAAAGGTCTGCCGTATTATCAGGGAATGGTTTTACAGAAAGGATACGGAATAGGTGGATTTTTTGCGAAACTTTTCCGTAGTGCCATGCCATTTTTAATTAAGGGAGCAAAAACTGTTGGAAAAGAAGCTCTACGTGCAGGAACGCAAATTGCAAACGATGTGATATCAGGAGAAAATTTTAAATCAGCCTTTAAAACCAGATCTAAAGAAAGTGGAAAAAAATTAGCAAGGAAAGCAGTTCAAAAAGCAGATGAGATGATTGGTCACGGAAAGTTTAAAAGGAAACGCAAATCTCCCAAACGCTTCATTTCGTCTAAAGCCAGGAAAGTGCAAAGACGTGACATTTTCAACTCATAATGGCTTTCCTCTTAAAAGATTCTCCAGAATGCGCCAAATCTGAACTCGATTTATTTACATTACCTCCAACCCAAACAGTTATAGAAAGAGGACAATGGATAGAATTTCATCCCCTTGCGAATGTGTCGGATGGAAGTCCTGTCGAATTCAATGTCGCGGGTAGTGGCGATGACTATTTGGATTTATCTCAAACTCAGTTATACGTCAAAGTTAAAATTTTGAAAAGCAATGGCGGCTCTCTCGGAAAAGATGATAAAGTGGGACCCGTGAATTTGTTTCTGCACTCCCTCTTTTCTCAAGTTGATATAAGCTTAAATGAAAGACTTATTTCCTCCAGCAATAACACGTACCCTTACAGAGCCATCATAGAAAAATTACTTAATCATGGTTTTGATACGAAAACTTCTCAATTATCATCAGAATTATATTTTAAAGATACAGCAGGCCGTATGAATGTTTTTTGATACTGCGGATAAGCAACCTAATGAGGGATTCAATAAAAGAGCAGAAGAATTTAAACTTAGTGCTACAGTGGATATGATTGGACGGCTACATCTAGATATGTTTCATCAAGAAAGACTTTTGTTGAACATGGTCGATATGAAAATTAAACTTATCCGCAGCAAACCGGAATTTTGTTTACTGGGGGAGGGGAATTTTAAAGTGTCATTGGAACATGCCTCATTATTTGTACGCAAAGTTCGAGTCAGTCCAGGTGTAATTTTAGGGCATGCAAAAAGTTTAGAAAAAGCGACAGCGAAATATCCTATCAACCGAGTGCTTTGCAAAGTGTATTCCATTCCATCAGGAAATATGAGTTTTGTTCAAGATAGTATTTTTACGGGCCAGATGCCTAAACGCTTAATTGTTGCTTGTGTCGATAATGATGCTTTCAACGGAAACTATAAAAAATCTCCCTTCGAATTTAAGCACAATCATATCAATTTTATTGGCATTTACGTAGATGGGCAACCTATGCCTCACAATCCTCTTCAACCTGATTTCATGAATAAAACCTTTATTCGTGCTTATCAGAATTTATTTGCCAATGCAGAAAACCGAGGATTGTATCTTTCGAGATCAGAGTATCCAGAAGGATACTGCTTATTTCTTTTCGATCTATCACCTGACTTGTGTGTGATGGTTCTCACTTGAATTTAGTCCGTCATAGTAATTTGAGACTGGAGGTAAAATTCGGTTTCCCTCTGCCAATAACAACATCGTTAATAGTCTATGCAGAATTTGAAAACTTAATAGAAATCAATAAATCTAGAAATATTATCTACGATTTTGGTAACTAATGAATTCTTCAGAAATTCATAGAATACTCTCTCATGACAAATGGACAGCAAAGTACTACACTGGAGTTTTCCCTTCAGATAAAATCCCAGATGTTCATCGTTTCCCAGCAGCTATTGTAGTCAACACTGATAAACACAACGAGAAAGGGACGCACTGGCTGGCTTTCTTCATTGAAAATAATCAGACTTTAGAATTTTTCGATTCTTATGGACTTCCTCCCATGACTTATGGTGATGACATAGCAAAATTTACTAGCAAGTTTAACTGTGTGACATGGAATCAAGTTTCTCTTCAGAGTGTAACATCAAATGTTTGTGGACAATATTGTACTTATTATTTGTTAAAACGATGTCAAGGATTATGTTTGGAATCAATTGTATCTAATCTTTCTGTAAGAAATAGCGATTTTCATGTATTTCATTTTGTGAAGAAAAGGTATGGTGTAAAAATGATTTTTAAGAAATAAAATATTAATTTGCTTGGAATTTTAGTTTTGTCTTTCTTATTAATAAAGTGCAATTTACAATTTTCTTAAATAACTTTTCTTTTACCTTTTAGTTATAGAATAAATTTTAAAGGTTTCATTTAAGCTTAAAAATTATTTTCCATTGTAAATTACTGGAAAAAAAAAAGATTTATTTTACTCATGACATCTGCACATTTTTTAAGGAAAAAAAACTTACCTTTAAAAAAAAATCTGGATCATTTTTTTTCAACCTGAAATTAAAAAATATTTTTTCACACATAAAAACACACCAAATTTAACTAATATCTTTCTTTTTATTAATATTTTATCCAAGAAGTTGAATACAATTTTCTTTTCTTTTTTACACATTTAGGTTTAGCATACATTGTAAACAGATACTTGTTTTTTACAAACTCCCTGGGAAAATCTACAACATCTAAGAATTTTTTAAACTCTTCATAACCTACAGGCTTGGTCTGTTGATTTCTTAACAAATAATTCACCAAGTCTTGAACATTAGAATTATTAATTTTAACTTGGTTCATGATTAATTCTTTAGATGGAGTCCATGTAATAATATCATTGTGAAGTTTTAAAAAGTCTATAATTCTTTTGGCAATGTTCTTAAATTTCACTGGAGCGGAATTCACAATTTCTTCGTCCATAGTAATCTTTTTCTCTTCTTCTTTCTCTTCTCTTTTCTAAGCTAAGCTGAACACTTTCTTGTGTTTCTGATTTTAATTGGGGAAATGTTACATATTTTTGAAGTATTTGAAGGTATTGCTTGGCTTTTTCATCTTCGGATAACTTCTCGTTTAAAATGGTGCTCATTTGCTGATCTAAATCTGATAAATGGTTTTCAGCAAATTCTAATTCTCGATCCGAGGGTACAAGGATAAATTTACGAGCGAACTCCATTAATTAATGTGCTCAGTACAGAAACTGCGGCAGGAATGAGCAACGAAAGAAATCCATCACCTTTTTGTACCAATAGTCTCCGTTTTTTAAATAAGGGTATCTTTTTATCACCTAATGTACGCAAAGTCCGTTTATATACGGCCAGTTTACGTTTCTGTCTTTTAGACAAAGGAACGTTACCCTGTAATACATTTAAAGCACATTCACATACACTTTTAATAACACTATTGGGACATTTTCTTAGAAGAGTTTTTTTTTTACTTTACTTTTGCCTAGGAGTTTAAGATGTTCCAGGCTCGACATCTGGACCTCAAATGATTGGTACTTTAACAATTCCTTCTCTTTTATAAAGGTCGCATAAGCAACCGCTTTTTGTGCAGATCTTATATTTTAGGACATTTTTTAAATAATCTAATTTTCAAAAAAAAAAAAAAAAAAAAAAAATTCGGTGTGGCAAATTTTATTCTTTTACAATGTAAAAGAGAGTTTTAAATTTTAAAAAAACCTACAAATTAAATCACTGAAGGAGAAAACTTGTTGAGTGCAACAGCAACTAACGGAGTTCATAAACAAAATGCTTATCTGAAGGGAAAATGCCTGTACGTAACCTTAACATTTCTTGGGTTTCTGGTCTTAAATCTATTAGTAAATAACTGTAAGGGTTTGAAGTTGCATCCTGGAAGACTTCCTGAAAAGCCTTTGTTTTCCCGGGGAACATCTGCCTTGCCAAATGTACGACTTGACATTTATCTCTAGGATTTTTGAACAGTATCATGTAATGACAATTCAAATGAATGGTTCGCATCTCTTTACCCTGCTGAAATAAATTTTGAACGATAAATATTATAGAAAGATTTCGGTGATGGCTTCCTTTCGTAAAAAGTTTACTTAAACGAGTATCGCTCGCTAACTCAGACATTAAATCATCAATGATAATTAGTGCATTTTGCAGGGAATTGAGGTTCGATGGTAGTCCTTCTTCAAACTGCACATTTTTCATTTTACTAAAAATAGGTTGATATGCTCCATAGCAATAAATTATACGCTGAGGCATAGGAGAAAGCAGACTTTCTTCGATGACTCGTTTCACAAAATATGTCTTACCGGATCCTGTCGGACCGCTGATGAGAGATGTGGAAGGGTGTTTCAACACAGGCCACTCCATTTTGTGGGGTACTGATGATCTTCAGAAATGTGTGAAGCTTTATATACTCCTCTCGTTTAAGAAAAGGCTAAGAAAAAAAAAAGAAAAAAAAAAAAGTCAACCACACAATTTTAAAATTTTACTGCAAAATATAATTTTTTTTAACATTAATTCAACAATAACCCTGCAATGAAATAAAATAAATGAGATGCATACCACTTAAAATCCATAGGGAACAGTAGTTAGATCTTCTTTTAGGACTCTTTTGTTGTAAACAATTTTGTACAGTTTTGTTTCTGCCTTAGTTAAAACTTTCCTCTTTTTGGCATCTCTCATGATTTTATGTTCATCGTACATGGCGATTGTTGTTTTTCGATCCATCGAGCACACTAAATTCTTAATCTCCAAAAAATTTAAAATCTGTTGATTTTTGAAGTTGAGGGAGAAACCTCGAACTTTACAGCAAGTCATTCCTCGGGCTGTTACATAAGCGTAATTTTTAGGGCCTCCTGAATGGGGAAAAAATATGCTACAGAAACTACAAGAATAAAAGATCAACCTAATAAAAAATAAAAATAAAAATGAAGCTCACCAGAGACAAATGTAGTAATAGTATCTCCATTGAGTTCATCTGTAAAATCCCCCAAAAAATTACCAAGAGGCGGATCGTTGGTAAAATCGCTTGCGTATATAATTGAATCCGTGTCATGATACAACACAGCACGGCCCAACTTCTCCATTTCACTGTAAAGCTTTAACCGTGCCCATGCAGTAGTAAAAGCTGCCAAGAACACATTTGTGGATGTGTCCTGTGGAACAAAATAATGTTTATAGTCCCATTGCACAGCAGCTACTTCAGGAGTCGGAAAATATAAGTCTTTGATCTGGAGGAAAAGTTAGCAGGTTGCAAGATTAATCATTTAAAAATATACATCTTAATTTACATTAGAAAATAAAATTACAAAACTTACATTTTTTGTTGGATCTGCTAATAATTTATTGAAATCAGGTAATGTATGAACATAAGTCAAACGTATCTTGTTCAGGTTCATTCCCCATCTTTAAAGAAAAAAAATATATAAGAAAAGAATGAGCATTTTTTTAAGAAATAATAAATGATATAAAGATGTGAAACAACTCTTTCTATTAAAAACATTATAATAATTATTTACCGCCCCCAGAAGCTGTTCAAAGCCAATTTGGCTACTTGCCGTCTTCCAGGATTCTTCTTAATATTAAATTCATCAAGCTGCACACCCTCTCGCTCAAAATAGGCTTCAATGTAGCGTTTTCGTTCGGTCGAGCTTACACAATCGGCTGGCCAGCCGCTGCTTTCTTGTTTTATTTTTAAAAACAAGTTGATATAAGATTGAAATAGAGTATCCGTAAATTGAGAAAAATGGTACACTTCATAAATCTGAAAAAAAAAAAAAAGATAGTGGGAATATGAATATAATAATATACAATAAAAATACATGCTGTGACATTTATAAACACATTCAATAATACTAATAATTACCCAAAATACTTACCTTTGTTATACAGTAACCTTTTTTCACTGCTAATTTGACTTCTTCAGTCACCCATGTGCCAATGATGGCTCTCTCATCATCTGAGTGCTGGCAAATGCCTTGATACATTAATTCAGCACAAGTCTTGCAGAGGGGAAACATCAGTTTATTTTGTGCTCTGTACGGCAATACGGGGAGGTATAAACCTCGAGGAGGCAGTATTCGGCACTTTATAATACCGAAATAGTTTTCCAAGGCATCAAAATTTTCAGTAATAATATTAGGGTGTCCGACGGGGTACAAACAGTATTTATTGACCTAGGAAAAATTGAAAAAATATGAATAATCGGAAAAGCGATTTTCTTTTTAAATAAGACATGCGCGTTTAATAAGATTATTTTATGCCAAAACACAGAAAAAAAAGTATTTACCCATGGATACAGTGAAGTGAAATCCACATACTTTGCATCACCCTCATAATACAGCTGAATGGCATTTGTCCGCCCGCCGAAGAAAGCATCTTTAGGATTCAATCGATCCTGAAGCTCGTGACTTAGAAGAAAATATTTTACTTTTTCATCTGTTTTCTTTTTCATCTCAAACTCATGCTCCCACATTTCAATTACATTATACCCTCGATCACGTAGCTGGTAAGTCTTGTCTACCGTTTGTTGTCGCAATGTCGACATGGGTAATTTTGTTATGGGGTGGAGTGCATCTCCGTCAAAACAGGTGGAGCAACCGTGAAAGAAACATCCCTGCGATAGTTAAAAATTTTTTCGTATAATACCAATAAATAAATAAATTAAATAATATATTTATAAATAAATAAATATTGAACTCTTACGTAGTATTGATAAACAGTATTTGTTTCTTTGCAATATCCGTCTACAGATATACCATCCAATCGTCTTTCTCCTTTTCCGTTCAAAGCGTGTTCGATTTCAATGCTCTCTTTTTGGGCAATAAAATCAAGCCAACGAATACAGTCAGGACTATGATTCGTGCGATTGATATAACCTCCTACAGGTATCATTGCGATGGTATTAGGTATTATGTGTCGGGATCTGTAAACCGCCATACACGCTGATGCAATGGTTATGTAACTGAAAATAAAACGGACAAGAAAAGTGTAAATCATATATACATAAAGTATACATGCACGTATACAATACGTTGTTACAAAATGACAAAACCATGTAAAAGAAAAGGTTTGTAAAATACCAAAAGGGGTCTACTCCTGTAATTTCTAAAAACTGATTTCTAAATTCAACGCAACATCTACGAAGGATATCAACATCTGATCTGAAAACGAAAAGAGTAAATAAATAAATAAAACATGGTACCAAAAAAAAAAATACACCTAAAAGACGGATCATAATGAAGGATTAGAAATAGATTGTTGATACAAACCGGCAATACGTGAGAATTTCTTCTTGGAAATCAAATATATCCTTCTCGTGTTCTTTATGCCATTCCAAAAAGGAGGTTCGCACCGCACTAGTCATACAATCAGGATTGTAGTACTTAGGCTCAGGTAAAAATCCCACATAATTTTGATTTTCTTTCTTGTTGAAAAGGTGCGGAAAATATCCTTTTTTTAGTTCTGTAAGGCCGAAACAAGCAGGCAGCTTTGAGAGAGCCATCGGCAGGAAATTAAAAGAATCAATAAGTTTTATGTTGAGGGCGGTATGGGTGATTACCATCACTTTAGAGCCATTAGGGATTACTTCAGGTGCCGTACCCTGTTCTAAAAGCCATGCCATTATAAACTGACCGTCAAATCTGTAAAGAAAAAAAAATTATTATTTTAAAAAAATGTATTATATTTAAAACAATAGCCCTATAATATATATATGCAGATTAAAAATAATAAGAATACATTTACCCCTTCATATTGTGTGCAATAACAGTGTAATTTTTGTGCACTGTTGTAAACAGCCAAGAGCAGAATTCATGACATGCTTCGTATCCTTTAAATATTTTCTCTTGGCCATCTTTGTACTGCGCTACAGCAAAGTTTACGATGTGTTCCCCTGATGATTGGTCAGTTTCGAAATCAAAGAAAATTAATTTATCGGATGGACTTTTCGCAGAAATGAGTTGTAAGAAACAATGATGTTCTGACGCTATAACATACTCTTTACACGAAGGGCATTTGATAGTCCCGCAACGATGTAAAATTTTAGGACACTGCCGTCGCATGATAACTTTTGAGCATTGTCTGCACTGATACATCTGTAATTAGGAAAAAAAAGTAGAACAAAGATTTTTTAAAAATATATTTAGAAAAAAAAAAAAAAAAAACGTTTTAAAAATGTAAGTATTAAAACTTTTTTTTTCCCCTAGTTGAGTAATACTTACCCTATCGCATACTGAATGCTCTTGTCTACCTGTGACGGCTTTATGCGCTGCAAAGCAGTCCTCAGATTGACAGAGGCGATCACAATCTTTACATCTTTTAGGCAATGCTGGAACGCATTGAAATCTTAGGCAGACATGGCACATATTGTCACACCTGTGATCTTCTGGACGGTCATATGGCTTTTCACAATTTTCGCAATAGTTTTTCGAACCATAAAAACCGTGTAAATTTGTAATGACATCAAAATGGCCATTGTGTTGCCACAAATTAATGCGACGAGTTCGATATCTTCCTTTATACGAGACCTAGAAATAAACAGTTTATAAATATAATTTCATTTTACATTTTTTTTTTTCAATTTAATTAATTTTTTTTGTTTAAAATCTTTGGCTTACTTTATTTAAATTTTCACTGCTTATTACTACGATTTGTATATTTAGATGATTTTCAAATGTGCAGATTTCAGTGTATGTACAAGGACCAAGAGGAAC